TGAAAGTAAATGAATTTACAAAGAATTGTCTTTTATCCTAATATTCATTTAACTTCATATAATGATGTGAATATGATTCAAATATTTTCGTTCACAAGCCAAACAACCTTTACGCATATGATGATGATACGAATCATCAACTTGAAGTAAATGTGATGTAAATGTGGCTATCGGGGGAAATAATATGAATTATTTTTTATCTATAGAAAAAAATAACTCTAGAATAAAATTTTGCATCCGAATAGTTCAATAAAAATGATTTTGAATAAAAAATATACTCATCAAAAAATATTATACACTAATAAGTTTCTCTAGTTTGAATATCCCCACCTTTCACGCTTATTACGCCCTTCCTCCTAAAGTCTCTTTTCTGTGCAAGTATTTCGTAAATGTTTAAGGAGTAGGAAAAGATTGAACTCTATTGGTCAGCTGTAGAGTCCTTCAAAAAGTATTTACGCCCTTTATTTTCTTGAAAGATGGACACGTTTATTTATCATTAAGTCCATTTATTTGAAATAAAAAAGAAACCATTTTACTATTTATAAAATTGTATATTAAAATTAATTTATCATTGATAATTACATTACAAAAAATTATCAAAATATTACTATTATTAATTACAATAAATGAATCAATTTAATAATAGTACAAATTATGGAAAAATACAATTGCAAATAATAAAAATTGTTTTTAACACTGATTTAATTAGTTACTGTAACGATAATTTTTGTCTTATCGACCTATTCTTCAATAACTTCTTCAAACTTTAAACTTTTTTTTAAGCATTATTATTATATATAACAAAATTACCTGGAAATATGAAAACTTTGGTCTTATCAGAAAAATAACGAACAGTTCCTTATTGTGTTAATGCAAGAACTATGATGTTTGATGATTGATTATTGGTTAGAAAAGTCGTTGAAACATTTTTAGACTTGTCAAATAATTATTTTGGATGTTTATCTTTAATACAATAATGGAACTTTTAATAAATGCTATCTTGAATAACAATCACCATACAAAAAATATTCCATATTAAAATTATCATATAAAGCAGAATGAAATTGATGATTTTCAAATGTTATATTATAAAAAAGTATTTAATTTCAACAATTAAAATTTTGGGTAGAAACAGATGAAAAAAATCATGATTAAATGCTAATATTTATAGTAATGCATTGAATCATATGTAGACCATTTAATCTATCTGATAATTAACAATATATTAAACTTATGCTTATTAACGTCAGTTAACGTCATTATTTTACTTTATTTACATAAGATTATTAAGAATATTAATTAAATAAAAAAAATATTATCTATCGTTTATTTTTTGAAATTATCCCAAAAAAGTATTAATTACTTTTAAGAATAACCATTTTTATTTAAAATTAAGTCATTTCTACTTAATTTTTTTTAATCCAAAAAGAAGGAGAGTAATTGTACACAAACTTTGTTTTTTATCTCTGTTTTAAAACATTTATATTTACATTAATTATTCAAAATCTAGTAATTGGACGTGTAAAGTACTGAAAATATTTTATGTAAATATTCTTCTGGTATTGTTAATTACAGTCATAATAATTTTTATGAAGATAGTAATTACTTGATTTTAAATAGAAATTACTGATGATTTCCAATGAATTCTGATGATTGTATTCAATTTTAATCAAATAATAGTTTAAATAATTGCTTTCAGTATTTAAGATCAATTTCTAATTTGAGTTATTTACATGTGATTTAATTAACCAAAGGCTATAATTATTTTTCCACAAATATTTTCAGTGTAAGTGATTTTAACATTAAATTACTAATTCAAGAATTTCATTCGATGAAACACAGAGAATTTTAAGTCATATATTATATAAAAAAAATAGATGAATAAATAAATTATGGAAAACCCTAAAATGAGATAAACAGCTTATTTTTGAACATGCAAATAAACGAAATATTTATAGTGTCTGATGCTTAACAATAATGCAGTATCAGACCTTTTCTAATCTCCATTAGAGGCTATCTTTACCTGTCTTGGGATAACGATCAGCCGATGGACTCGACACAGCTGTGTTGAGTTCAATGCATAATAAAGTGCAAAAGCCTGAAGGAATTAACTCATAAATCCCTTTTGTATATTAAGTATTGAAACTGACTAGACCATCTGGTTTATGTCTAGTTTCTTTTGGACGTGAATATTATTGCACTGACCCCGACTTCATTTAATCCTGTACAAGTTTCAATAAGGGTACCATAATTTTACAGCATTCCCTTAATTATATTAGTTCTTGGTACCTATTTAAGTCAACAAAATGTTAATTTTTCTAAAAATATCTTAACAATTTGAACAATTCTTTCAATAAATCAAAATTCTTCCAAACAGACTAGGAATTTTAGGATTCTTCCAAAAACATTCATACTTTTTAATGAATTATACATAATCAAATTAAAGAAATGAATGATATTCTTCGTTTTTTTATAAATAAACAAGTTTTTTCATGATAGCTTCACCGAGAAATGAAGAATATTCAAAAAATATCATTTTTAAAAAATATAAATTATCTGAAAAATAAACACAACTGTTAAATTATAGAATTTTTGACTTCCTAGCAGAAAATTATTGTGATGAGTTTGATTTTATGTTCCAAAGTCTCTAAAGTCAAATATAATTGTTTTAAGGTAGATGTCTGTGTGTGTATATTCAGAATTATTTTTCATCTCGATTATATCAGACTAATTGCATTTGATGTATAATAAAGTAACTCAAAACTAATTAGATTTCCAGCAAAATTAATCTTACGATTTTTTTTTTTTGCAGAATCAAAAGACTAAAAAAAATAGTAAGCTAGCTGGATTTTACAATTTAGGCAAAATTCTTGCACAGAATCTCCTTATGATGATTAAAATTAATATAATTATAATAATAAATACAATAATAATGATTAATTTAAAAAAAAAAACAATAAGTTAGAGAGCTTTGATATTTTTTAAATTGAATTCAATAAATTATTTTATTTAAATTAAATTATTTCAAGGTTTTTTGACGATTTCGTTTACTAATTAATTATTTTTGTACATTAGTAAAATGTTTGAATTAATAACATTGTCTGAGTATTGTGGAATTTTTCGCGCAAAACTAGTCCATATGTAATTAACTAATGACATCACTTGTCATAAAAAATGATTAATAATTATTTAAAATATTGTTATACTTATTCTTCGCAATAAAATGATTTAAAATTGGCGATCTTTTATCAAATCATTCTAAAGTATTAATAGAAATAAGCTACAAAATATCTCTTATTTACACTGAATTTATACCATTAATTTTTTTTGTATAAATGAAATAAAAAACTATTTAGTTGTTATTACGAAATAATAGTACTTTTTTGGACTATAATAAACCTTTTCATTGAAAATAAAATGATTGAATGATTTAAACATTATAAATATACAAAAAACTATATTACGAATATAAAATTCATTATTAATGAATAAATAAACTCAATTATGAATTTCGATCGATAATAAACACTTCAATTTATCAGGAAAATTATAAAAATAATTGTTTCAGCTCAAATTAGTGAAAAAACTCAATAATTTTAAATTAGAAATTATCATGAAGTTAATCATATTGTTATTATCATTTTTATGATTTAATTTTACCAATTAATTAAACCATTAACTTTTTATTATGATTATTTAATAAAATTATGTGTTTAACAATATCTTCATATTAAAAAAAAAGTTACTTTTAATTTAAAAATAAATCTAGGTAATTATTTTCATTATTGTATTGAATTTTCTGTTATTTTTTTTTAATTTTAAAATGAAAGTTATTACTATAATAATTAATGCGTTCTTAAGTGATACATATGTATTAAATATGTATGTATAAAAATATGTATATAGACATTGATAATAAAAAAATTAATTGTTTTTATAAAGTCTACAATGTTTTTATTGCAGAATGAACAACTGTAGGACTTTAATATACGTATCAAAATATACAATAATGTGATCAACTATCAAAAATATTTTTCTTATATTTTTATACAATTATTAAAAAAATTTGAAATGATTTATATAATTTTAAGGAATTTTAATATTACTAACAAATTATTTATTTATTTTCAATTTTGGGGATGTGAATTCAGCAAAATTCCAATGACAAATCTCCCTGGTTGCCTTTACCGATGGCATTTCTTCATCCCTACTTCTCTTTTCCTTTATATTAAAGCTGTAGCTCCTCCCAGGAGCCATAGTGGCTTCTTTAGGCTACATCTATAAAAGGTCCATGCAGTTCGAGCAACCCATCAAAAAGCTCTTAGCTCTTGCCAGTGTATTGTGCCATCAAGCTAGTGCCAAGTTTTGAATTTTAAGTGTACTTAAATAATAATACTGGAGAATTCTTATGAACTCCAGAGATATCAAAATATGATTAGATATAGTGATTATTGAATTAGTGAACAGATTTTATGAAATTTGATTCTTTTTCATTTCATTCAGTATTGAAACTTCTAATTTTGTTTTTAAAAAATATATTTCGCGCCCACCTATTTTTACTACAAGTTACCATCAGTAGTTTTTATTACCAACCGTAAAAAAATTGTCGGTACAATAAATTCCACACTCGACTCCAAGTTTTTAGCGGTTGTGTTATCAATCGTATTTATTTTTGAGTGATCGTTGTAGTTTATTACATTAAATTGGTCTAAAAATAATAAAAAAAAAGTTTGAATTAATGGTGTAATACGAATTATTTATTTACGTCTAATGTAATGATTTCTACTATGAATTACAGTAATAAACATCATTTTCAACTTCATAACCTAACTTTCTAAAACAACATTAAAAAACGAGTGTAAAAGTAAATAAATTTATTCATTCATGAATAATAAACAGTTGAAAAATTGATGCTGCTACTTATTAACGTGTTGGAAACATATTTTTTATCAAAAAAATAAAGAACTCAAAGTAATAAAAAATTTATTTAAAAACCCAAAATGGATCAAATGTTACCAAGTCCTGGGTTCTCCATACCCAGCATTGGAACCCCACTTCATCAACCTGAAGAAGATCAACAAATTCTTCCAAATGCTCTCCAACAACAGCAACAGCAACAACAACAACAATCCCAACAGTATCAATTACAACAAATGCACACAATGAGTCCTGGTTTACAAAGTGGAATGTTGATGCTTACTCCTCAGAAAACTATGCATACCTATGCTCCTACACCTGCTTTTGCTACTCCTCAGAGTCTCATGCAACCCCAGACGCCGGTTAGTATGTTTATTTAATTAAGGAACAATTAATTAATATATACTATTATGTTTATTCAATACAAGTATTTGATAGATATTAATCTTTTTGAGTTGTGAAGTATTTCAGTGCTATGGTTTAATCAAGCAACTATTATTGATAAAAAAGCTTGATTCAGTTGTTTTTGTAGAAAATTTTATATTAAGCATCACAATTAGTAAATCAATACCAAAAATAATTCATTTCTTGATCATTTTTAGCAAAACATGATGTCGCCCGCTATCCAACCATCAAGCAACATCGCTCCAGCTTCCATAGGACCTTCAACACCTGGTCCAATGACTCCAATGACTCCTGCATCAGCAGACCCTGGAATTTTACCTCAATTACAGTACGTTTTTTGTTAAATTGTTAACGATTAATATATTCTATGTCTACAATCATTTTTTAAAATAATTATATGGTTTTTTTTTTGCAGAAATATTGTGTCCACAGTTAATTTAAATTGTAAATTAGACTTAAAGAAAATAGCATTACATGCGAGAAATGCTGAATATAATCCTAAACGATTTGCTGCTGTGATTATGCGAATTCGTGAACCACGAACAACTGCATTGATATTTAGCAGTGGCAAAATGGTGTGTACCGGTGCTAAAAGTGAAGAGGATTCACGTTTAGCTGCTAGGAAGTATGCTAGGATTATTCAAAAACTAGGATTCCCTGTAAGATGAAGATTTTTTTTTAGTTTAGTTACCATAGTAATAAAACTAGGATTATTGACATTTTTCTTCAACTTAGTTCATTTCAGTTATTTTGTGAATAATAAGGGATGGATAATAAAGCCTAGAGACCTTTTTGTGTGAAATAAAAAGAGTTCTAATCATTACATGAAACTTTTGTTCGTATTTTCTATAATTTACGAGATATTCGCCAAAAATTTAGTTTCAGTTACTATGGTGACTAGACAATCATAGATAAGAATTATTTCATGCTTATTATTATATTGATTTCTTTAAATTTATTTCTCAGGCAAAGTTTTTAGACTTTAAGATACAGAACATGGTTGGAAGCTGTGATGTAAAGTTTCCTATAAGGCTGGAAGGATTAGTTTTAACGCATGGTCAGTTCTCATCGTATGAACCTGAATTATTTCCTGGTTTAATTTATCGAATGGTTAAACCAAGAATTGTTTTACTCATCTTCGTGTCTGGAAAGGTGGTTTTAACAGGTAAATTTTCTGAAACAACGGTAATGATATATTTTAACTACTCGAGTTTTGTAAGATACTGAAAGTAGAACGCTAACTTTAATGTTACATTTTTTTTGACTAATCAGCATTGATTCTTAATGATGTTTTAATATAATTCTAATCAGGATAAGCTTTTAAAGATACATTTTAAATGATTATCCCTAACAATTTGCATTCTTTCTATCTAATACTATCCTAACTTTCTATTCAAAGAATAAATATTGATTTATTCAAGAAAATGTTTTCTTATCAAATCCACATATAAACTTCGATTTTATTATGAACAACGTATTTGGACTCATGTTATTTCTTTCCACCTTTTTTTTGTAAAACGATAATTGACCATTTGGAAAGAATTTTTCGTTTTTAATAAATATTTATAGCTTTTTTTTTCTCGAAAGCCTTTGAAAGCTCTGTTTTGTATGTAATAAAACTTATTCCAATCAGTACAAAATTTTAACAATGAAAATTGGAGTAAAGTTCCATTACTTTATATTTTAGATAATCTCCATTTTAAATATATAATTTAACAGTCTTAATCTAGACAAGACGTTCAGAAAATCAGTTCTAATCAATTGAAACAATTTTTTTTAAATTGAAACGACTTGAAATAGAAGTGAAAGTGTAATAATATTTTTTGTGTAAAATGAAGAGATCATTTTCTTTAATCTAAATATCACCTTCATTCACCATAAAAAATAAATTATTTTTGATTAATTTCAAAGTGAAAATATTGATAAAATATTTTTCTTTTTCAGGTGCAAAGGTGCGTCAAGAGATTTATGAAGCATTTGATAACATTTATCCAATATTGAAAAGTTTCAAAAAACAATGACATTTCACATTCATTGTTATTTTTTACGTGATATTTAATATTAATCAATAGAATAACTAGAAGAGAGCTTATCTGTTTTTTAATAATAATAATTAATTAATTCAAAATACTACATAACATGTGTAAACAGTATAAAAACCCCTAAACTCAGGGAATCCTTTGACAAATCTTCTATATAAAAAATTTCGAGTTTTCTTATTTCCATTTTGTAAAAGTTTCCTACAAAATTTTCTATTTTACTCTCACCAAATGCATCTTTTTCTGTTACACAAGCTACATAGTATTGTGAATTATTTAAAACAGAAAAATATTACTTTCGTCTATCAAATCTACTTGAATTTCATAGGCAAAATTAATTGCTTGAAATACTACTTTATCATACCATTATTAAGTCACATAGAACTTTTTAATTAATTTCATTATTTTACAAATAATTTACATAGAAATTTGTATTCACAAATTTCTATTAATTACAAAGAAAAGTCATTGGATGTGCCTTTAATGACATTTTTTCATCAACGCCTTCCTTTTAAAATATAAATAAAATCTCAATAATTATTTACAGACACACCTCTTAAATGGTCTAGTGTTATAATAAAGTTCGATTTATTACAAAAATTTAAACATTAACATTATCTTGTACAAAAGTATAAATATACATATATTTAGATAGTTGTCGCGAATTCTTTGAAGTTTACTTAGTAACTGAATTATTTAACAAAATGTACAAAAATAGTATAAAAATTAATTAAATTTTATCAGTCAAGGCAATTTTTGCATTAAACTTAATATTTAGCTATGATTTAATTATTGAATAACTGAGATGCTATGTTAGTGAGACTTTATTATTTATACGTTTATTTATAAGTCTATTGTTATATTATTAATTATATTAAATATACAAATGATTAGTAACTACTTTTAATAAAAGTAATTTGACAATATTTAAGACTTATTTTAAATAATTATGATTATTTATTAATTATTATAACAGTCGATTCAAACTAATAGTCAAATTTATATTAAGACAATCCTCATTTTACACAAAAAATAATCAATCTTACCATCTTGCGAAGGGAGATTCATTTTAAAATTATTTTATCACAGTCCAATGCTAGATGGACAACACTTTTTTTTTCTTTTAATAAATATGTTTATTAAGGCCATAGGCAAGAGGCGATGGTTAAGAAATATGAATTATTCATAATAAAATTTGAGTTTATTGACTCTTCAATAAATTATTTTAATTCTTCTACAAATTATTAATTGTGAGCACAACAAAACAATAGAAACTGAAACAATGAAGGTGCTTAATAGCTGTTCAGTATATTGTAGAAAGTATTTAAATTGAAACAATCATGTTTAATAAAAAAAAGAAGACTTTATGAGGCAGATAGACAACACTAACAACTTCTAGATGGAAAAATTACTAAGGCTAAAAAAAAAAATACCAGTTGAAATGAATACCTTATTTTTTATCTTTTTGAAAAAAATTTAATTAATTAGACAAATATTCCATTCTTTCAATATAAATTTTTTTTTTGTATAATGATGTTTTTTTTTGTTTACCCTTTTTTGGACTTAATCATCAATTTCTTGACATTTTTATTCAACTTAGGGATGCATAGCGAATAAAAAAATTATAAATATGTATAAATTTAAGTTGGTCACATTTCGATTAAGATGAAGATATATTTTTTTTTAATTCTCTCAACACGTGGAACGCATAATCTTTTAATGCTGTTGTGATTTCAATACTAGAACTTGATAATTTTGTAGAAATAGAATCAACAGCCATTTTTACTCCATTTTCATGCTTTAGATATTTAATAATATTTATTTTCAAAGTTGGATCAGCTTTGATTCCTAACAAATCCAATAACTCTTCTACTTTTAACTCAATATTCCAATTTATTTCTTCAGCTTCATCTTTTGATATCCCAAAGTCCATTTTATAATTCAAAATATTTTGGTCATTACTTTTATTAATAATTTTCGGTAATAATTCATCTTTCTTCCCTATTTCTTCATCATTCTCTGGAGATGCATAGAAATCTCTTTCATGTAATTCACCAAAATCTGTCATTTTGTCTTCATGCAAGTCAAAAACTTTACCTTGAGGATAAATTGGTGGTAATGAACGTGTTTTTAATCTCAAGTTTCTTATTTCATATTTAAATAATTCTTTCTGGTTCTTCTGATGCTGAAGTATTTCTTCAAGTTTTCTTAAATCTTCTTCATAGTCGTTTTTAATCCTCATAATATTATCAACTGTCTCTGGAGTTTTTCGAAGAATTTTACGAAGTTTGTGTTGTTCTTCTTCTAGTGTCGTTAGGATATTCAATTTCTCAGTATTTTCTTTAATTAGATTCTCAAGGACTAGAATTTGTTGATGATATTTAGCTTTCACTTCTGAAAAGGAGAAGAAAAACAATGGTGAAGAAACGAAATAAGATATTGTATGAATTTTGTGTGCTAAAGGATCTTTTATAGGGAAGCTATTGAAATACTTCAAAAATTTTATACATATAGAAAATCCTAGATTAGAGCTGGACAAGCTTTGACTTTTTCAGAGAAAAGGAAGGAAGACTTATGGCTTAATTGCATTTTCACTTACTCTATAGCAGAGGTGGGCGAACGTGGCTCTTCAGATATAATTTTCAGAGCTACTATTCTGACGAGTGAGAGAGGTATAAGATTTTACTAGTATAGGTAGAGCCTTTTACTAGTGCTCTGCAAAAGTTAAAGTTTGCCTACCCCTATCATAGAGTTTATGAATAACTCTAGCTACCTGAAGAGTAACCGGCATAATATAATAGAAGTAAGCATGCCCAACACTAGTATATCCTATTTGGGAAGGAGGCTTGAACAGCTTATTATTGTTAAACCAAGGTTGGGAAAATTTCTGTCTTTTCGAAACGAAGAAAGATAGAATTGTTCATTATATGAGGAAACACTGATTAAAACTTTTCTAATGTCTTAATAATGCCTTGTACTAAGGCATGTAAATTAAGCTGCATGTGCAGAGGTGAGCAAGAGTATCTCTTCAGAGCCAAAATGGCTCAAGTATAATTTTCAGAATCATTGCTTCTGTCAGGAAGCTATATAAGACTCTATTAGATAGATCTTTTCACGGGTGCTCTGCGGAAGTCAAAGTTTGCCTACCTCTAGTCTAATGTATCAAGATTATGCTTTATTAGAAATGAGACTCTATTGTTGTGTTGGATAATAAACAAGAGCTAGTAGTCAGTCTAGTGCAGGTATGGATAAGTAAGACTTCTCGAAGTCCCTGTGAGTACCTGGATTACTTAATATAATTTCCATTGTGGATTTTATTGTACGAGTACTCTTAATCTTAAAAGGGACTTTGACTTGAAAAACGTTTCCCATGCCTGGTCTAGTGACTGCAGCACAATTAACTGAATTTTAAAATTATTATGCATATTTTATTGCATTCTTTAGGATGCAAAGGAGTTTCCCTCAATAAAAAATAATTACCATTAATTCGTTTATCATAAACTTTCGTTTCATCAGTAATGTCAGCTCTGATATCAAAAATCATCCTTCTCAAAACGGCTTCGTATAATTTTATCAAAGAAATTTCTCTTCCAAACTTCCTTGACATTTCGTCTTTAATTTCAGTTTTCAGCCTTTTTATTTCACTTTCCATGTATTTGCAGTCCAACTCTAGCCTGTGAAGATGATTTTTATTCTTTTCATGCTTTGTCTTCTGATCTAGAGTCTCTTGTTGAAGCTCTCCAACTCTTGTATACAGTTTAGACAATTGGTTTTGATCAAATACCACACAGTCTTGTATTTTTGCCAAAGTTTCTTCATTGATAAAATGTTGTAACTGATGTAGCTTCAATACGACAGTCACATCGATATTATTTAATTGTTTTTGCTTCTCACGCTGAATTAAATGAAGAATAATTAAATAATTAAATAATCATTGAATTAATAAAATAAGTATTCCTATGATAATTAATTTACCATGTAGTCTTGTAATTCTCTTTGACTGACATTCAAAGTACTTTCAACCATCTTCAATCTCTTGTGCTCTTGCTCAATATCTTTTTTCAAACCTTCAACAATTTTCTGATCGTCTCTCACTTTAGCTTCGTAATCATGACGTTTCTTTCGCATAGAAATGGTGGCTTTAAATAATTCTTCATCACAACCAGCTGGACAATAGTTGTCATCCAGGTATGCTAATTTAATATTCTGATCTTCATCACTGAAATTATCTTCCAAGTCGTCCTCATCATCTTCATCATCATCTTTATCATCAATTGACTCTGATGATGTTGAATCACTCAATTCATCACTTATTCTTATTTCTCGATATTTCTTCTTATAAACTCTTTTGAGAAATTCTGTGAATTTATTATCATTCACCATATTGTTGAACTGAACTGTTAGATCCTTTATTTTGTCATTTAGTCGTGTTATTTCCTTTACTTTGTGCTCCAGATTTACTGCTAGATCATTGATCTGAATAATTTATTGTTATTAAAAACATGAAAAGATTAAATGAGTTTTGAAAATTAAATCGGGAAATAAACAAAGTAACTATTTATGTTTATTTTATCGTCATTTTTTTGCTAAACTAGGAGAGTTAAGGGATAAAGCCTAAGAACTTTTTAGATCTAAAATAAAAAGAGCTTTAATTTTTATTTCAAACATTTTTCCTTATCTTTTATAGTTAACGAGATATTTATAAATAACTAATACTAAGTATAAATAATTTGGTTTTACCCTTCGTTGTATTTCAGAGCGATTCTCCAAATCTTCTTTAACTTTTAAAGTCAATATATTTTCCTTCATCTCAAAATTACGTAAAATTATCAACTCTTGCTGCAATGTGCACTGAAATAGGTCTGAATAAATTTCCTCTGCCTGAATTTGTAGTCTTTCTTCTTCTAATTCATCTAGCTGTTCATCAATAGATTTATAATTGTCAGTAATATAATTTAAAATACACTCCTGCCGATAAATCTTCTTAATCATCCTAGCGAGTTTCATTTCAACTTCCCAAGAAGTTTGGACCCTATCACTAGCATTCAGGGAATCAATTAAATTCTGAGGAACATCAATGATGGTCTGATGAATTGGATAGTTGGATAAGAATCGAGGCAACTTGCAATGGAGATCAATAGCAGTCTCGTCTGATAGCAAAACTTCATATTCTTCATCAATTGAAGCCAAGTTTTGTAACACAGGCTCTTCTAGGATTAATAATTGCTTTTGTTGACGTGCTTCTTTGATTTTTTCTGACATTGGAATGTATTTCTCCAACTGAAAAGCAAAATTATCACTTTGAATTAATTCAATGCAAATTTTTCGATAAAAAAGAAGAAAAAATGAAAGTTTTAAGAAGTAAATGACCTCTAGATTCTTTTCAGGGAATTCAACATCCCAGTTGATATCAAAAACTTTGGGAAGAGGTTTTTGATATTTATCTGGAATTTCTGCATGAATGGAGTTTAACTCTTCCACTAAGTTAATCACTTCTTTCTGTAGTTTTAATTTATTATCTCTTAATTGCTTAAGTTTTTCATTGAAACGTTCTTTTAACAAGTAATTCTGAAAAGAAGAAATATTTTTCTCAATTGGATTTTATCGGTGATTAATATTCTATAAATTTCTGAGAAAAAATGGTCAGATCTGATTGAATTCAATTGGATCTAAATTAATAAAATTTTGATTAGCCAATATCAGATCCAATGAAATCTAGTTAGGTTCCAGCTTGGTCATATTAGATCTAATAAAATCCACTTGGATTCAGTTATTTATTTTAGATTTAATGATCATAGTTCGATCTTATCGAATCTGTTTAAATTTCCTTAACCCCTGAAAGTGATACTCGTTTTGGATAAAGCGGATATTAGAAAATTTAAATATGAATAATATTGTATAATTACATATTGTAAACAGTTGCTATTATTTTTTTAAATTAAAGTTCAGGTGATTCTAATTTCTATGTAATTTAGACTATAATGTATTCTATTAGATCTGATTGAATCGAAGTTAATTCATTCAGATCAGAAAATAAATCAAATTTTATCAGATCTGATGATTGACATTGTGAAGAAAATCAACCTTTTCTTATTCTTTGTTATAATTCAAATAGTGAGAGTGCTTACTTCTTTCTTGCACTCTAGAAGCTGTTGATGTTTTAATAAAGTTGTTTGTTTAGCTTCCATATCTCCGCTAACATTATCAGCAATTTTCAATTTATAATCTCCAATAGTTCTTTTAGCTTCTTCAATAGCTTCAATGTCCTCCTCATGATCAGCTTTAAGATCAGGTTTACTGGCGTACATCACTTTCCATTCTTTAGCTTTTTGTTCCATTTGAGCTTTTCTTTCACGATATTTCCTCAGGATTTGATAAATTTGGACTCCTAATTTATGTTTGATTGTATCAGAATTCAAACCTCGCAGAAAGCTTTCTACTTCTTGGATTTTATAGTCTTCTTTGTCTTCATCTTCTGTTTCTTCTTCTTTATCAACTATTTTTGCTTCATCTTTTTTTAACTTCACACTAGTATCTCTACAAAAAAAAATCATTAATTCGACGTTTCTAACGAATAATCTTGATAAATAATTGAAGAAATCATTTTTAAAAATAATAATTACAGTGAAGTTAATTTCGTTTCTTCAATTTGTTTGTGAACTTGGTTATAAATATCATAGAATTCATCATCTAAAGCCTTTACTTTGATAGAATGGACCATTGAGCTCGGTTTTCTTTAACAAAAAAGATAATTGTTTCTACTTAAAAAGGAAAGTTCTAATATTTATGACAAATAATGTTTTTGTCTTCTTCATAATCACATAATTTTTTATCAATTAAGAAATACAATGATGTATTTTTTATATGAAAGAAACAAATTATTGTAAATTTTATTTAGTGAAACTATAGGTTTATGAAGAAGAATTGGAACACTGATTTCATAACTAATTTAATAGAGAAAAATGTCTTTCAGAGAATTTCTTGACGTGTAAGACATAAATTAAATTGAAACAAATAGCAACGTTGGTATCAGTTTAAATGTTAACGTAATTGACTTCCTAGGAGGATAAGTATAAAATTGGAAATAGCCCTGATGGATTCATGGCAACTGTTAAATGAGAGTTATAATTACGTTAATAGTAAACTTAGCGTTTACTTTGAGTCATTTTAGCATAATTTTACCTTAAAATAACTATAAATCAACTGTTAGAATGTGCGATTTATTAACTATCCAGTAAACACTGTTATATTGTAGTTATATATCCTTGACATAGTTTTTGTTACATATTTTATTACAGTTATGTACCATAGAAGTAACATAAATGTTACTATTTCCGCCTTAATTACATAACATTGTTTTATAACTTTGTTACATTACAGTAATATTATGGTTACATAACATTTTTATCAACATTGATATTGTTTAAATTGAAAAAAAAATTGTCAGCAATGTATTTTTATTGGATTTCATTGCTTTTGTTTACTATTCTATTATTTTTTAAGTGTAATTTGATTTCTTTAGTGAAATGAATTTTTCCTATTTGGGGAGATTCGAACCTACGACTGCCCGCTCGCACGCAACTTAAATTTACGTTTTTACCCACTAGGCTATTCTGATACTTAATTCCTAAATTGAAAATAGGCCCATATAAACATATATCTTAGCTACATGTATAAATATTGTAGAATATATTATACAGAAGTAATTGATAATTTCGCCCTATAATACTACAGAAAAAAATATTAATGCCGAACCCTACTCAGAACAACTGAATTTTCAATAAGAAGAAATTTTTAACTGCATAATAATCAACCAAATAGTCATAAATAACAATAGTAATAATAATTATTAAATAAAAAATACTAATAATTTTAATATTTTTAAACTAAATTTTTTGAAAATAAATGAAATTGAAAATACATAGACTCTACTAAATTTTTATATTAATAATACAGTAGAGTAGCCTCAAATCCATTAGGGAATAATTGAATGACATAACTTACAGTACTTTACAAACTGCAAATGGTACACAAGTGATAGGTTTGATGAAATAATCAATAAGTTTCTTGAGAGTCAATGTACTTTTTTCCACTTGAAATGCCATTTGATTGTGAACTGAATCAATTTCTTGCTTCAACTGCTTGTTTGAATCCTCAGTAATTCTAGAATCTAGTTCAAACTCTTCTAACGGTATTTGTTGAGATTTAGGCAATTTTCTATTACGATTCATAATTTCACGATATTCTTCATTTAGATTTCGAAGAGTATCTAGAGTTTTTTCTTTCTTTCTTTTCATTTCTGCTTCCATTCTATTCTGTTCTGCTTTTCTTATTACTTCTTCTAAACTTGGATGATCATCATCTTCAATATCTTCAATATTTTCAGGCTTTAATGGAATAAATGAATACAATTTTACTGCTATTCTGTATGACTTTCCATTTCTAAGGTTTTCTATCATAAAAAGTACTTACTAATACAGTCAACCTCGCAGGATTTTCATTCTTAATTACTTCACTAGAATTTCCTTCATTTATTAAATACGAAAAAATGTTACCATCATTCCCAGAAGTAAATAAAAATTGTTTATCATAACTTAAACATATTTTTGTAATACTTCCATTTAAGTTATCGTGCATTTGAAGAATCCAATAGTCAGATAAATCACTAGAATCCCAATCTTTTATTTTACATACTTGGATTTTACCTTTTTCTGTTCCTATTATCAAATACTTTATGTTCTCATCATCTTTTGTTATGTTATAAAATAAACAACTTGTTATTTCTTCATCTTTTGTTCCAACACCCTTAATTTTGGTAGGATTTAATTTTAAAATAGCTTCTTTTTCATTATTAGAATTATTTTCTAATGAGTATTCATAGATAGAATCTTGGTTATCACTCATTGTTAACCAAACTTTGTTCTCAGTAAAGTAATTTATTGTTAAAATATTATTAGTGTGATCTGAAAAATAAATTATTAAGTATCTGGGAAAAATGATCTGATACAAATGAATAAACTAAAGTGGCTTCCTAGTTTCTTAGAGCCATTGCTGCTGAGAGTAAAAATGAGGTGTATAAGATTCTACTAGATAGACTTTTTACTGGAGCTCTGTGAACATCAAAGTTTGTCTACCTCTGAAATATACTGTCATTTTTATTTATTGTTATCAAATATGATCAGATCTAATCAGGTTTGATAAGACTGGATACGTTTTTAGCACTTGGCCTAATCAAATATGAAATTTTTTTCCTAAGAATTAATCTCTTAAATATTCTATCAGTTTTAAATCATCTTTACCAAAAGACTTTTTATCCTTTTCTGCTACTTCTTCTGATAAATTACATTGAAATATATTCGGACAACATTGAGACAATTCATAACTGACAGTTGTATAAACTTGAGGCTTATCTGGAAGCTTTGTTGTCGCAAAATATCCTTTGGAGCAACCAATTAATATTTCCTCATCCTTAACAAATAAACAAAATAGTCGATAAATAATTGTTATTTATTGACTTTATATGATGTAATTATCGATATAGATACATTTCTAGGATTCCAAGCAATGCAAGTAATACTTGCAGGAAGACTTATGAACCCAATAGGAGTTAAAGTAGGATAAATAGCACTAGAATCAACAGAGAAGCAAAACACTGTTGCATCTTCACTACCAGTGACTAATAATCTGTTGACTTGATTGAAAATCATCACTGTAATAGCTCTTTTATGTGGTTTTACTGCTGAAATCAATCTGACAAAATTATTTCTTTGTGAACTTTCTTCATCAAACTCAACTTCTTTATTTTTTTTGTTACTAGAGCTTTCAGCTTGGTTGATGTCAATCACTAATACTCGGACTATTCCACTTTGGAATCCACAAATTAATGTTGATCCTGTTGATTCTATCTTAAATTAAAAATATTTTTAACCACTTATTGGATCTATTTAAACATTTATCCTAGAAATAACCGCTGACTTACTGAACAAGAAAGCCAAATGACTTGACAACAAATTTCTTTAAAATAATGAGAAACAATTAAATTCTTCGATGAATAATTGTAAATATTCAGATGACCTCCTTCTCCGCAAGAGACAATATAATTTCCCCATGGACAAACAGAAGTATTAGTTATTGCTCCTGCATGGCAAGTAAAAATTTTTTCTGAAGGCTTTTGCAGCTGGTTTGTTGATAAATCAATCAACCATAATCCACCATTTCCATCCTAGGATAAAGAAAAACATTAACTTAAATTTTAAAATGTATTGTGATTGATTTATCCAAGTTAAAAAATTTCTACATACCTGAGCATACCAAAAAGTCTCTTCAAGATCATCTGGATCCTTTTTTTCAATCGCCATTAACATGGGATACTTTTTTTGATTTTGATCATCGTCATCTGACTCTGCTCCTATTCTAAACTCGTAAATTGGCTCCATTTCAAGATACCTATCATCTGGTGAAGAGTTTGCCTGACCAATAGTATCATAATACCACACTCTGATCCATCCATCAACTCCTAGATGGCCATTAAATCAATTAAGTCAGTAAATTGTTAATTTTTTAGAAGATTTGTATGTTAAGACTGTATTGGTGTAAATCTGATGATCACAAACTGATTAAAAAAAAGTTTAAAACCCTAGAAAAATATCCTAGCTTTCGATTAAGTCTTGGATCGTCTCAAAATATTTATTCTTAAAAGAGTAATTATGATTTAATCTTTCTGTTGTTTGAATAATCTTATTTTTATTTCTAATATTAACCAAAGCCAAAATGATGCAATTTTCTAGAAATTGAAATTCACATTTGTTTGTCTTACCAACAGACATCAGTTCTCCATTCGAGTATTTAAACTGAGTTATCATTCCCCGATGACAGGATTTTTTACTTTTTCTTCTCACTTCAATCTCAATACAACCTTCATTCCACACCAATATGTTTCCCCAATCACTCCCAGAAAGAATTGTTCCATCAGGCATTGAATAAACGCCGATGATGTTTGAAAATGGAACATTTCCAAATCTTCCCAATTTTTCTTCCAACTTCAGTCCAGTAAAAGTGTGCTCCATACTCCAAAACTTAACATGTTTGACACCACAAGTGACAAAATGGTTAGTAAGATATTCAGAAAATCTTACATTAAAAACATCTTGGGTATAGGATTGGGTTTGAAGTAAAATAATTTCTTTTTTCCATTCCCAAATAGTGAGCCGAAAATCAGGTTTTCCACTTTGAGAAATAAGTAGCTCGCCATTTGGACTGTAAGTTAAGTAAGAAAATGCATTGACAGCACCAGATTTCAAGATGGTTATGATTTTTAAAGTCAGCCATTCGTAAATTATAATCGGAGGATTGGAACCACGTTCTCCTACAGCTATATGAGCAAGTTTTGGATTTTTCTATCAAGAAAAAAATAATAAATTAGTTAGTTTATTACTTTAAATATGAATAACGAGATCAAATTGAAATATTCACAGCAATGTAACCAATTCCTTCTCCAGATCCTCTTCTAAATGATAGTTTTTTCGTCTTGACATTGAAGAAATGAATTAAATTTCCAGAGGAAAAAACTACTGTCTCGGGATCTGCTACACATAAATTGAAATATTTTCGGCAATTATATCCGAATGAATGACTAATTTTCATTAAGGTTAGGTAAGGTATTTTAAGCAATTTTTGTCTAATTAATTTATAATTAAATAATCAATTAATTAAGCTGTTGAATGCCACTTTTTATTAAATTTTAAAGGATACTCAAACTTTAGAATATTTATCGGAACAGTTCCATCTTTAACCTTCCAAGGTTTAGACACGTAATCGTCTTTATCATAAACAATATCACTATCTTTCAGTTTATGGTCAGTATCGGACATATTTGACTTTAAAAATTATTATGTAATTAATAAAGTACCTATTCACATTTTTAAAGTTGCAAGATTAATTGAATTACGTAGTTTATAAGATAAACATCTAAATGTTTGAGGTTGTTATGGAGATATTGAATAGCAAGGCATTCAGAAAACAATTGTTGGAAATCTAACATTACTTGCAGACTTTTAAGATAGCCAGCATAAATGTAAATAAAGAATGTTTTATTCATAACCAACCATAAAATTAAAAAAAATTTGTCTTTTATTATAAGAACAGATATTTATTATTCCATTTTATTTTTAGTTAAAGAGTGTTTTTTTGTCAGTGGTACAAGACATTGATTATAATAAAAAATCATTGCGGTGAGGAAATCACTTTTTGTTTGGATTTTTATAATTATATTTAATTTTTTTCAAAGGAAATAGGTTAAATGTGATTTTTAATTAAAATGTATTACTTAAGTTGTTGAATTTTGATATGTTAAATTCAATAAATGAATAAATAAACATTATATTCAAATGTATTTTAAATATTTTTAATATAAATTATATTGACTATGTAATTACATATATTCGACAATAATCAAGTTGGTATACAAACAATATTCTTCATGCTAACCTTGATATTTTAATGACTAGATGAAACATAATCAGAGAAAATAGACCTACATAGAAGTTCAATGCTGTGTTCTGTTTAGGGATCACCCCAGGTCACCCCAACCGTGTTAAACTCCTACCTGGCTCCATAAGAACCCATACTAAATTTTTGGAACACATCGGCCCTTTTGAAATAAATTTATTATAGTTAACTTATGAATAAATAAATAAAAAAATTTATTTTATCTATTAACTATATAAAATTTATTTTATTTATTAATTATATAAATTTATTTATAGTTAACTTCTATTCACGTCTCTCTTTTCTGACATAATGCACACTAGTTCGATTGCCTGATGGTATTGAAAGCAATCACCAAGTAACAACAATTAAAAAAAAATGGGTCTGAGCTTAGTTTGTGCCTTGACGACGAACTTCCTATTAATTGGAGTCCATAATTTCGTCATTTTTTTTTTTGTCATATAAAATTATTTATAACAATATTTTATTGATATTTATCGAATATAATCATAGTAATGATAATTCAATAAATTAAAACCATTTTTCATTGTTTATAACAAATTAAATTTGTTATAAACAATACATAATTGTCCAGAGTCATATGAAGTTATTAACAACCATAGTATATTGACCTCAGTTGTCTATAATGTTAATCATCTAACAAATGGAATCAATTTCAAATGTCTTTTTTATTCAGCTTATTTTACCCTCTTTTTGTGATAAAAAAAAACGGCTGGACCAAATTTGTTTAAATTTCTTTCAGATCTTCTTCATTTTATTATCTTTGAAATGAAATTTGTCCGAAGTCGATATCTTCAGTGGTTCTCGAGATATCGAAAACAACAAAAAACCTGGCATACGTACGTACGATTACACGTACGGGCAATTGTACGTACGTACATACATCTATTTTTAAACCTTCTATAACAGATTAATAAAAACACATTACACTATTTTTGAATTTCAGTTAAGACTTGATTAATTAAAAAAAAAAACATACTAAACTCTTTTGTTGTAAATCAATTTTTAATACATATTCATTTTCTGATTTTAACAGTCAGTACAAAAAAACCTAAAATATTTTATTCCATCAACATTTTTTCTGCTCATTTTCCATATTTCATCAATCTACTCGTCAAAAACATGTTATCCCTAAGATGATCCTTGTACTTTCTCTTCTCCTCTTCTGTCTCACATGTCCAATTTAAAAACTTATCAGCTAAATCACATCGATGGGTTTTTATAAATAATTCACACAAGTTAATATGATCAATAACACTCTTGACATAATGCATATTCTCAGGTTTATTCCATTGCCAATGCAAGACTGTATCAACTAGGTGGAATTTGTCATCTAATATCTGATAGTCCCGGATGATTATTTTCTTTTTGAAATATTTTTTCTCTTTTTCAGATCTTAATACTTCCTCTATGAACTGGTCTAGTCGCTCATATTGATCATTTATTATCAACCATCTGTACCTTTTGTGTCCAGACTCTAGGTATTGATCTCTGACTGCTGCAATTTCTGGATCATTTATTATCAATTTGATGCTACTTAAATCCCATATATCTAGCAATCTGCAAATAAAATCACACTTTGGATGATCTTGAATTATTTTTTGCTTCATAGATCCTGGAATAATTAGCCAGACTTCATGGAATATTCTCTGATATCTGCTATTTCGTACAGAATGACCTAGCATGTGATGTTCAACCATCTTATTTATTATCACATCTAGACACATTTGGACTATCCTACTATCAAGCTGTAGATTCTCAAACATTTCATTTAATACTGATGTAAGCAGTTCTTGCCAAGGCCATACAAGTAATAACATCCTTAAGACTATACTCTTGACAGCTGTTTGTTTATAGACTAATTTATCCAATATTAATGATCCTGATGCTTCATTAAGAAATAACTTCTTTTGATCTTTAGTCATTTGGTTGATTAAAAATATACATATCTCAACATAATTTTCATTTTTATAATTAAATACATCTTTTTCATGTTCACTATGAATATAATATATCACAGCTATACGTGCATAATTTATTACACTTCTATTTTTTTCATCTTCTGTTAGCTTTTCCCAGAAATATTTTGTTGCAATCCTGTTACCTTGCTGGACTGATAACTTCAACATGTTTTCCTCTGGAGAACAATTGTCGTCATAATATGAAATATCATAGAAATTTTCAAGTATTAAATAAAGTGGAGATTTATCGAAACATTTTTTTAAAAAAGATACATCACCATCTCTAATATATTTCCAATATGCTGATAGCTGTTGATCATAACCCTCATTTTCATTGATGAAATTAATTTGTCTAAGCTTTGATATGTTTTGCCACAAATGATCAATCTCTTTTTTTAATGCATATTTGCATGCATTATTATACACCTTAGTGATACTGAGATTTGAATTTTCTAACCAAGATAGTCTAAATGTTTCAACTTCATCAACAGTACCATAAGGTGTCCAGTATATTTTATTAATATAATTTAATGTTTCTTCGTGTTTTAAATTATTTTCATATAAAATGTACTTAAACCAGTTAAATATCTTTTTTCCTATTTCCTTTACAATATAAATAAATTCACCCTTTAATTTTGAAGGTAATATCTTTTGATTTGATTCTTCCACTACTTGTTGAGTTAACCTTATCCATTTATTTTTAGCTTCATCACTTTCAATTATTCCACAAGATGTAAAAAACTCATTTATCCTATTTTTCTGATTTTCCCAACATGATATCGCACCAATTAATGCTGCTTTTTGTTGAAGATTGAAATGTAATTCATACTGCATTGTGACAAAAAATTACACGATAATTTTTGTTGTAAAAAAAGGTGATTTAATACAAAGTAGGGTTATAAAATAATAACACTTCATTGAAACTCCAGCCAAACTAACCGAACAGACATTTATTCACTTGATTTTCAACTGTACAATTGATTACTTGGAATATTGAACAAAATGAAAAAACAACAAAACAATTTTTCAGTTACTAAAACAATGAATAAAATGAATGAACGACGTATTAAGAGTCACGATTATACTGATCAGTCTGATCAAAACAATTGAATTCTAGTGTATTTGCTCGTAAACACCACGGCCCCCCACCATAACCTAGAAAGGGTAGGGACAGGTTAGTCAAGTAAAGTTGTAATCAATCCAAAAACAGCCCTAACGGACTTCAGAAAAATACGCGTCAAGTATAAAATGACGAAGACATATTGTTCATAAAGTGCAACATCCATAAAACTTCTTTATATGAACAACAACAAAAATACGTAAAATCATTGAAGCCAAGTATCTAAATATAAAGACTAATTATATTTGATAAAATAAAATTGTATTCATTTTCCGTTAAATTATTATGTAATTTTTTACATAAATTAAAGACAAACTCTTCATAATGAGGTGAAAAAAAATTCCAATAAATGAAGAAAGTTAACAACATTACGTTTCACTTAATGTACAATTTCACTGTTTTATTTCTGGAGAGAATGAAGTTAGATAATGAAAATAATTATAACTCTGTTAGAGTCACTTTCATTTCGGTGTGCTTTCAGTTAATCAAATTTTCTCTTTTTTGGAGTAATTTTTGCTCCAAACCAGCTGGTCCATTTAAATTCTATTTTTCACTCATTTTCGTTTTATCTACAATACAGGTGATATTTACGCCAATATTCCTACATCATTTCGGTTGCCATCCGTCTGGGTTTCCCAGGATATGTCCTCTTTTTTTTATTGGCTTCGTTCTAAATAAAACTTTTTACGTTTCAATACAATAAAGATTAATATAAATTTTAAAATATTTAGTAAAAAAATTTCAAGTCTTATCTGTCCTGGTTTTTGATGAGATGAGTCCTTGTTTTGTCCGGGTTTTTTACCGCTTCAGTCCAGGGTTAAAATTGTAAATTAAGAAATCAACCATTCTATTAACAAATGTTAATCATTTTTAATGCATCAATATATTGAAAAATTGATAAACAAAAAGTGCAATAGGCACTTCGATACTTGTATTAATAAATGAGTAAATTTTTCCGAGCGCTTCACTTTGCCCCCACGATCCACCTTACCCTCCCTTTTTTTGTAATGTTCTCGATTAATAGAAAATATCCGGCTATGGTTCTTGAAAATTGGACCAAGTATTAGACCGCCATTCATAGTTGTCGCTCGAGACACTACTAAAATAAACGTGTCTCTTGATTTTGTTGATTTTGAACTAGCTGGATGTCAAAGACTTCGGATCAACATTGAATTATTTAGATGTTATTATACACACGAAAAAGATATTGATAGATTATTTATCAACTTTCGTATTTAAGTGATTGTCAACGGGAATGAGAAAAAAAGGTAAAGAAGAATAATGTTAATTTTTCGATAAAAATAAATATTATCAGGGTTAATATATTTGAAAATTGTTTTATTGAAATTTAGATAAGAAGCATTAGTTTATTATTACAATATTTATGTTATTGTACAAAAAAAATTATTTAAGAAAAACATACAAATGTCGGTGACTTCACAATTAATGGCAGCGTTATTTTTTGTTAAAAACGTGAAAAAATATTTATTTCATTACATCACTACAATTTGACTTATTTGGTTGTAAAAAATAATATTTCTGTTATTTTTAAAATATAAAGGCTATTTAATAGCTCAATCACCATGATTTTTCAGTATTTGTTATTTTGTATTATTCATTATTAACAAATAAATATTTATTCAGTACTTCTTTTATTTTCTGATAAAAATCAATCAATAAAAGTAATCTAAATCGACAAAATAAATGTCATAATAATCGTTTCATTCTATAGATCATTGTTACACGAATCTTTTCCTGTAGGTATTTTCTTATTTTATTTATTTCTTTGCCTAAAATTAGTGAACAAAAGTCAATATACTTTTATATATCTTTTTTTCCGCTCGAGACGCCTTAATAGTAATGTATAAAAATGTTGTCCATTTTACGTAAACATCGTATACAAAAGATCAGGCTTAAGCTACGTTTCCTAAATCTAAGTTAATAAAAATCGTATTAATTTATTCTCTCAAAGATCCAATAATTTAAGACTCTTGGACCTTTGAAAGAATCTACCCAGTTAACACTGGATATAACAGCAATATAACACAAAGGTAACAATATGTAACAAGTTATATAACGAAAAGTTACATATATGTTATATAACTGTAATATATTGTCAAAGTAACAAGTTTATATTGCAGATGTCACACCCATGTGACGTTGTAGCTATATAACGTAGTTATCTAATGGCAATATAATTAGCGTTACATGCATGTTATATAACACTGCTATACTAGTAGTATATATTTTTTGTTATTTAATGTTATGTTTTTATGATATAACACTGTAATCTCTATGTTACATTACATTTGTTATGCAACTGTTATTTAAATGTTACATAACATATTGTTACTAATTTTAGGTAACATTTGTTGCATACGCGCAATGTTCTTGTAATGTAACATCGCCACATCGATGTTACATACGTTCTTAGTATTGACGGCATATTCTACAGATGTAACATTACAAAATTCTGGTTATAGTTGCTTTTCTTTTCAATGTGTAGATAAACTGAGATTGATAGCAGATCAGGGTAATTGTTTTTAAGCTATAAGGATATTTTACAGTTCAAGAACTATTTGTGTACCTAAATTGTCAGAGAATTTCTCGTTCACTTTATTTTTGGCTGTGTGTATTTAATACTCAGAAAATAAGGATTTTTTTTTCAATTTGTTTAACCTAAGACATTTACAAAATGTTTTGTAATCTCAAAAATGAATAAATCTCAATTAAAAATAAAAAGAAGACATTATATATAATAATTATTACAAAATGACTAAAACGAACTATAATTCACACAATTATTCTCATTTTTCTATATATTGTAAAATAAGAACAAATAACAACAAAAACTAAACAAATTTTACCGAGAAGACCTTCTAAAACTATGTTCATAAGTTTAACGAAGGTGGCAGGAGCATTGCACAAACCAAAAGGAAGTACCTTAAATTGCCAAACCTCATTTCAAATGAGCAAAAAGCAGTTTTAGATCTATCCTCCGGAGCAACTTCAACTTGCCAATATCCACTTTTTAAATCAACGGTAGAAAACCATTGAGCACTAAGAACCATATTCAATATGTCTTCTTGATGTGGAATTGGTGTTGAATCATTAACTGTGACATCGTTTTATTTACGATAGTCAACACAAAATCTAATTTCATCACCTTTTTTTGGAACAAGAACAACAGGAGAAGCCCAAGGACCATTCCAAGGTTCTATTGCATTCTGTCATTTCATTTCCTCCATAACTGAATCAACTTTATCCCTATAATGTAAAGGAATACGACGAGGAGCCTGTTTGATAGGACGTGCATTTCCAACATTAATTTTATGTTGTAAAATTTTGCACTTTCCTAAATTAAAAGAAGTTTTCGCACAAATATCTATATTCTTCGATAAAAGTTCTTCAAAACGAAATTTATCATTGACATCCAAAAATTTTGAAGATCTTTCAAACAAATCTAAAACAAATCCCATTTCTGACACCAATGTAAAATAAGAACAAATAACAACTTTGGAAAATTAATAGATAAAAGAAAAAGTTTTTTTTTTAACAAACTCTCCCCTCGTCGAATGAACAATGTTATGTAATTAAGGCGGAAATAGTAACATTTATGTTACTTCTATGGTACATAACTGTAATAAAATATGTAACAAAAACTATGTCAAGGATATATAACTACAATATAACAGTGTTTACTGGGTAGATAAAAATTATTATATTATGTAGGCATGATTTAAACTGTTAGTATTATTTGATATGATAAAAAAGTAAAAAATGGTTATTTAGCTATCATACAACGTTCAATCAACTGTTAACCCGAATGCAACCTTTTTTTTTTTAAAAAAAATATAAAGCGACAGTTGCAAAAAAAAACAAATCTTAACCTAATGCGTTCATTATAAGTTGATATGACGTTCAATTGACCAATAATCAACTCTCAAGAAATCTTTTGTGAATAGTTAACTCATAGTTAATGAATCGCACATTTCAACAGTTGATTTACAGTTATTTTAAGGTAAAATTACGCTAAAAAAATAGATCTGAGCACACTTTGTCTGTGCTAACACAACGAACTTTCCAGTAGTAATTGTTTGTAACAAATTTAAATAGTTATAATTAATGTTTGTTGAAAGCATCCAAATCCATGTGATAAACACGTTACTTATTCAATAAATACAATTTTTAATAGTTTATAACGAATTAATTTTGGTTGAAGTTGATATCTCAATCCGTTCTTGAGATATCGAAAACAAAAAAAATGCTGACGTCCGTACATACATACGTACGTACACACACATCATTCTAAAAATTGGTCAGTATGCTTGCAAATACCATGAAACGTAGAGATATGATGAAAATTCAAATTTCACCAATTGACCCAATTTCAATAACTTCTTAATGGGAAGTTAATAAATCCAAGTCAACGCTAAGTTTACTATTAACGTCATTACAACTCTCATTTAACAGTTAACATAAATCCATCAGCGAATAAATGTTATTCCCGACTCTTTATAGTCAGTGAGCATTTTATTTCAATTTAGCCATAAGATCCATAATCATCTTGTAATTTTCTTTTCGCATTTCATCATCAGACTGAGGTACTTTTGATACAAATTTAGTTCGAAATTCTTCGATATTTTCCAATGACTTTAACCAAAAATTTACAAATTCACTCAATTTCTGTAATCTTTCGTTCAACTTAAGACAAGGCTTGTAAAGTGCTGGTGTGTGAATTCTTTCCAATAAACCACTACACGATTCGAATCCATCATCTGATAAAATAAATTCCTTGATAAAAGAATGCATCAACTCATTTTCAGTAAAAGCCCATCGAACAAAGCTCTCTGCTTTTTCTGTATGCCCCAATGAGATATTATAATGACATATGTAATGGCCCATAGTTAGACCTATTTTCTGCTTTACTTGCAGGACTTCTTCTTTAGGTGATGAACATCCAAACAAAAAATTTTCCATTACTTGAATAAAATTATTTTGAACAAAATAATTAA